ACACTTAATAAACTGAATAAAGTGCGAGGCTGTCATTCTAAGACTAAAAGTTGTCCACTCAAAGCATTGTTTTGTCTCGGCAATCAGAAAACCGGATGTCCTTCAACCTATGCCCATAAATACGTCATAGTCGAAAAGTAATGAAACTGCTAGTTTGGCGCATATTGCTAACTGATTTTAGTATAATTTCAGAGCTGAGCAAAGAGTTTCCAGCAATCTGATTGGTCCAGCGGATGGCGCTATATAAACCGCTCCACGCGGTTTATATAAAATGTTAAAATAAAATGTTAATAAATGTTGCTAAAATGTTATGATTTTAGAAATTTCTCTGTTGTTCAGCTCTGAAATTATACTAAACAATTATTCGCCTCAGGTTCGGTGTACATTGTCGAATAATCCCCTCGATTTCGTCTCGAGGATTGTTCTACGATATTCACGTCGCCTTCGGCGAATAATTGTTAAATATAACTGTAATGCTGTTGGTTCAAAGATCTGCTCTTCCCTTAATGCTAATGTTCAAAAAGAAATTATTCAGCCATTATTGTGAATTGTATTCATTTTCTATTTATTTTTCTCCAGCATGCCATTTTATAAGATCATGGTCCCCACTGTTGACACCGTGCGGTACGACTTCTTGGTGTACAGTCTACTTCAGGCTAAGCGGCCTGTCCTTCTAACAGGACCTGTAGGAACTGGAAAGACTTCCTTGGCACAGAAAGTGCTGCAGAGACTGGACCCCAAGACCTACAGTCTTTTGGTCATAAATATGTCCGCACAGGTACAGTGTACGATCAAGTTAAGCATTAGGTTTGCGAATTAATTTTACCCTGTTTTTGTTAGCATATCTTTGTTATTTGGGTATTGAGGAGATCATGCAGTGACATGTAAACGCGAAGCAGTCGTGTTCATTGACTGTATTCTTTTCTGTAGACGTCCTCGAACAACGTTCAAGAGATCATCGAGAGCAAAGTGGAGAAAAGAACCAAAGGTATGTTCATTTTCTTATCTCTCATAATTGTCATCAAGCAAATTATACCAACTCTTCCCTGTGTATAATGGAGAGCGCGCTTAGGGAATTTCCTATTAAATCCAAACATCAGAGCTCTTAATGTAATTATTAGTTGATAAAGCAGCGTTTCCTGCGAGCCTAATGTCGGCCAGGAGTTGCTGTGTGCGAATGGAGGGGAAGGGGAGGGGCGGGAAAAATTGGGGCCTCGAGCTTGGCGGGGGGAGGGTGGGGGTGGTTTCGCGATTATTTTTGGTTGTTTCTAAGAGAATGATCTACTGTTTTTATTTCATTTTGAGTAGTTTGGTTGTTATTCGGGCCTTCAGTTTTCTTCAGTTGCTTACTCACTTCTTTGTTTCATATCTGAGATTTTCTATTTGAATCAATGTATGTTATTGTGTGTTTATCAAGGTGTCTATGTGCCTGTTGGTGGCAAACAGCTGATCAAGTTCATGGATGACTTCAACATGCCGGCGAAAGACACATTTGGCTCGCAGCCGCCGCTGGAGCTTATCAGACTGTGGTTAGATTACGGCTTTTGGTATGATCGACTCAAACAGACCGTTAAGTACATAAAGGTGAGTGTAATGGTGCAGAAAGTAAACAGAAAGTAAAATGGCACTCCCTCTTCTTGCGTCATTCGTTAGAAATGTAATACAGTCAAACCTGTATTGAGCAATCATCCTGTATTTAACGGTCGGTTGCCTAAGTCCCGGATTGGTTTCCCCTAAATCACTGTAATTTACACCTCTATTAAGTGATCAACTTTATTCAGCGGTTGTGGTCACCCTTTGCTAAGTCTCAAAGGCTTGTTCGTATTGTTTTCTACCGGTATTGAATGTTCGTCCCCCGTCCCCTCCCCCAACTTTTAGGCAATCAGATGTGACATCAAAAGTAGTAGTTATTTTGTCACTCGCGTCATCCCGCTTCAGGAAATTTGCTTCTTTTTGCTTTAATAATAATAATAATGATAATGATAATGATAATTGTAATGATAATGATAATGATAATGATAATTGTAATGATAATGATAATGATAATGATAATTGTAATGATAATGATAATGATAATGATAATGATAATGATAATGATAATGATTATGATAATAATACAAGACTTTTCTAGCGCCCATGTTCACAGCGCTGTAAAGCTATATGGATAAAAAATTTAGTTTAGTTTAGTCCATTTTCACTGCATTAAGCCTTGCAGTGGGGAGGACTAGAAAGGAACACAGGAACCATTCGTACTAGTCC